AAATTCAAAAGGTGCCAACAATGTACACAATAAAGGGAGAGTCTCCAATTAGCCAGCCAGGTTACTTCCCTAGAGCAGTGATTTTCAGCTGGTGTGCTGTGGCACCCCGGGGGGGCTGTAAGAGGACCTTCCCTGGGCCTCGACAATTTTTAAAGATCATTAATTAAGTTATTTTTGAAAGAAGTTTAAAGCACAGTAAGTACATTCTTCTTTTTTTTTTTTTTTAACTCCTTTTTTGATCAATATAATTTAAGTGTGCTGGGGAAGTTTAACTATAGGTTCAAGTATGCCATGAGATTAAGAAAAAAAAAAAAGGTTGAAAGACATTGCCCTAGAGGCCGCCACCCTTGGTTTACGGGTTGTCCATTTTCCAGAGGCTCCCAGGGTTTTCTAAGTATGTAAAATACATACGCACACATTTAGTCACATACTCACACGCACATGTATTAACACAGATGGTAATGAAACATACAGGATGCATATAGCTCCATCACCCTTCTTAAAGACCAAACCATATGTTCCACTGTTTGAATGCCCTGGGCAGTCTGTTACTGACGTCTGTTTCACTGGTTCCTGTTTTTTCCCTGTACCAAGAAACATTCTCCTCAACAATATCTGAGAGGACCCGTTTTCTTTGTATTTGTCAACTTTTTTTTTTTTTTAATGTTTAGCAACTTGCAACACAAAAAGTGATGTCTAAGTGGGTTTTAAGTCTCAATTCTCTGGTCACACGAGACTGAGTCTCATTTTGGCTGTGGCAAAGCCACATGCATTTCTTTCCTGTGACCTAGCTGCGTCCGCTGTTGTCCTTTGCCTAATTTTCTAATGGATTGTTCATCATTATCTTGTTAAATCGTAAGGCCCTTTAATATGAGCTGCAAATATTTTCCTCATCTTTTCAACTGTCTTTGGATATGTTTAGAGACTATTTTGCCATATGTAGCGTGACAACAGTCACATTTTTTTTTCTAGTGCTTGTAGATTTTGTGCTATGCTTTAAATTTGAAGTATTACGTAAATATTTATTTTAAAACCTGAGATTATTTTTAAAAACTTCCCACACATTTTCCCAGTACTTTCGTGGCTTTATTTTCCATATTAAAATTTTTAATTCATCTGGAATTTGCCCGGGTATAAGGAATGATAGAAGGATGTGATTTTTTTTTTTTTTCTCAAATGATTGCCCAAGTATCCAAACAGCATTTATTGCAAATAATATTTAGGCTAATTGTTAATTTCTGGACTTACTCTCTAGTCCCAGTGGTGTATATTTCTGTTCATCCACCAATAACTACCACAAGATTTAAATTTTGCAGCTTTATACATTTACTGTCACTACAGTGGAATCACCAATTATTCTTTATTTAATAATGTTTCTTAATCACATTAAGAAAATATACATCTGTGACTACCTTATTCAAAAATTGTTTCTAATAGAAGTGTGTTTTTAACTTTATTAAATGCCTGGCAAGAATCTGTAAAGATAATCATATGTGTTTTTCTTTTTTAATCTATTATTATTATGAATTTTTTTTTATAATTTTGAACCATCTTTGAATTCCTGGAATAAAATCAAATTGAATATGATTATCAATCTTTTAATATACTTCTTCTTTTTTTATTAAGTCATAAACACATAGATCATGTATACATTAATGCATTTATGGGATACAATGTGCTGATTTCGTATGCAATTTGGAATGCTTACATCGAACTAGTTAATGTATCCCTCACCTCATTTACTTAATTATTGTGCTAAGACATTTAAACTCTATACTTAATGGATCAGTCATGTACCCTTGCAATATGCACCATAGGAGTGGTCCCACCATTTACCCTCCCTCCATCAAACCTCCTCCCTCCCCTCCCACCTGGGCCATAGTTGTGATCTATCCTTCATATGTAAGTATGAGTGATTGTAAATTGATTTCATAATAGTACTGAGTACATTGGATACTTTTTCTTCCATTCTTGAGATACTTTACTAAGTAGGCTAGGTTGCAGCTCTTCTCTGAATAAATTTGAATTAGCATTTATATAAATAAATGTTATTCTAAAATAGGTGAAGTCTTTCTTTTTTTTGCTCTGGAGAAACTTAAGTACATTTAAATTACCTGTTCCTTAAAGGAATTTCTTTTAGAAACTTTTCTTTGAAAACTGCTGGCCTGGTGCTTTTGAGAGAGAACTTTTTAAACATTTCTTTCGTTCTTTTCCTCCCTTCCTTCTTCTCTTCCTCCTTTCCTTTTTTTCTTTCCTTTTTTCTTCTTTCTTTCTTTTTCCTCTCCCCACTTTTTTACCATGAAAGCAACCAGTACATTTAAATTTCCTGGTGTTATTGTTTATAATTTATATTTTCCTAGAGCATTGCCCATTTTATTTCAATTTCTTGTTCAATAATTTGATAATTTTAGTCTTCTTAAAATTAAAAAAACTCCTTATTTGCATTGTATTCTCTTTTTTATTTTCTATTTTATTCACTTATGCTTTTCTACTCTTGTTCTTGATTCATTTATTTTCAGTTTGTCTTGTTGGTGTTTTCCAAGCGTTAGCTTTAGATACTTGGCTGTTTTTCTGTTGTATGATTCATGCAGTCTGATTTTCTTTTTACTGAGTTCCTCCTTCTGGTTTTCTTTCATTTATTTTGTTCTTTTTTTTAACTTTCTGCCTTAGGTACTTGACCCATTTAAATCATACATCATAAGTATTTAAGGTTATGGTTTTTCTCTGAGCACTGCTTCAACCGTACTCTTTAGGTTACGGCAAGGTATATTTCCCTTTGTACAGTAACTGCTCTGTGAGTTGTATTTAACTCACACTAGTTTTGTGCCCAGGGCCTCCTTAAGCAAAATGATGATAGTGGTGATGTGACATTGTTGCAGTGTGAAAATGGATTCTAGCATTGTATGAGTCGCAGTAACTCATGACCAGAAAGTAATAAAATATAACAAATTTTTCATTAAATTAGAAAGAATCATCTTCAAAATCTTTATTCTACTTTCCTAATAAAACACTGTGGTCCCAAGTTTTGTAGTGTGGCAGCCAATGTGCTGGTATTGTTTTCCAGATGTTCTGAAATTCTAGTTTTACACAGGTTAAGTCATTTACAAAACTTTCTAGGTGGTAGCATTGTAGTTTTGTCAATAGTTTCTAGGATTTTTCATTTCTTTTGATTAGAGACTGTCAGTCACCTTTATTTTTACTTGTCAGGATCAAGTTTTCTATATGGCCTAGTGTTTAATCATTTTTTTGTGAGTGTTCCATGTTTACTTGAAAAATAAATCATAGTATCTCTTTGCAGGGCACAGTGTTCTGTATAAGAGAATGAAGTGTATCTTATTACTTTTGTTACTGGGTTTTATATATGTTTTTAAATTTTTTGTCCACTTGTTACCTTTGAATCTCTAAAATGCTATGAAATCGCATGTTTGATGAATGAATGTGTGATGTAGAGCTGATGTGGTCAGCTAGAATTGTGTTTCTTTGTTTATCCTTTTATAGCCAGAGATCGCTGAGGAGAACCTGACGTATGCTGAGCTGGAGCTGATCAAACCCCACCAAGCAGCCAAAGGTCTCCCCACCAGCACCGTGTATGCCCAGATCCTCTTCGAGGAGAACAAGCTGTAACATCACCTCCTCTTCTCTGGTTCTATTTAATATCTGCCACCCAGTAATTTATGCAACCTTGGAGACAAAGTCCTTATTTTTGTATTTTCACTTGTGCCTTCTGAGTGGTGGGGGAGCCCCTTCTTCACGGCAGTCCAGGTACTCTCAAAATGAAGTACGAGGCTGCTCCCCCCAAAAGAATAGGGGCCACAGCCCTTGTACAAATCTCCCAGGGCAAAATGTACCTGGGCCGGTGCCCAGAGGTGCAAGGACTCTTTATTCTAAGAGTATCCAAGGAGGTTTTCTGCTGAGCCAACCCCCTTCACGTTTTCTTCTTTCCGTGGGTTTTAATTTTTTAATATTTTTTTAAAATCTTATTTTACTCTTCTTCCCTTCCGGTATCAGTGATAGAAGCTCACAGTGTATAGCTAGAAGAAATGCCATCATAGGCCAAAGTGGGAGTTGGCAGACTCATGGTAATTGGTTTTCCAAGGACCAGATAACATCTCTCGGATGCCCGGACTATAGCAACCTGCTGACCGCAAGTAGCAGCTTAAGATGGCATCTCTTGTTTTAAATAGATGCACTGACCTTGATGATTTAAGGACAGGGGGCAGATTGTGGGGAAACCTGAGGTCTGTCTCTGAATACCACATGCCTGGCTGCCCACCCAGGACTCTGTAAGGCCAGAGGACAAGTAGGCCATCCTTCTAAGAGGGCTTCCATCCCTTGGGCAGGGTGGAAGTGGACCTATACTGATAGAGAAATATATTCTCCAAGAGTTCTTACCCTTTTCCAAAGGAGCAGAGGTGTTTGGGAGCCATTGACACCCTGGAGCAGGTGCCACCTCACAGCCTGGGAGCTCAGGCAACTCTAACTGAATGCCCACTGTGTGAGGACAAAGTCTGCTGCAGGATCCCTCAGAGCAGGAGAGTGGGAAGTGCAAGTCAAGCTGGAAAAATCGTCGTCTGAACTTGCTAACTGCCTTGGCTGTCCCAGACTTTTGTGAATTCCAGTGGATTGGTGTGCGGGCTGGGGCTGCATGGGGAAAGTGCTCTGTGAACCTGTGTGACATCCAGGAATGTTGGACTCAATGGAGCTGGATCCATTGTGGAAGGGTCATCCTGTCAACTGTGTTGCTAAGGACATTTCCTCGATGTGTGGGTGTACTCTGGGTGGCTATTTACTGCACACTATAGAAACTGTTTGGCTATGTAATGAACCAAACATATATGATAAATTAACTATTTTAAAAAACGCAGCTGGGGTGTGAGTGTGCCCTAGTACACAGCCACTTCACCTTGGTCTGGTTTCTTATCCCCTAACGGCCTCAGACTCCATACTTGTATAAAAGTGACCTAACCTCTTATAGAATTCTTGAGGGTAAAATGGGACAAAGAATACCGCCAGATTCTGGAAACTACATAAATTGCTACACAGATACTCACAGACAGATACCCAGACATTCATGCTACAGCCAGCCTGTGCTTTCAAAATGAAACTTTCTTTGCTCTTTAGGCTTTCACGGTGATCAATTCAAAAAGTCAAATATGTATCTACAAACTTAGCCCTAAAGAAATGCCCCTAAAGACCCACGGCAGTTTATGAGGGCCTCTCATTGTTCACTGGAAAGGCTCCAAATTGGAAGTAGATATTGATTTCCCGGAAGCAAAAATGGCCTGACTTTACGAAGTGAAAGTCCACTCTCCCTGGACAACACTCGCATCTCACCTCCTCTGCTAGATCTCCAAGGAAGTGAATAAGCCACACGGCTCTTCTCCTTTCTTTCCTTTCCCTTTCTTTTCCATTTTCTTTTCTTTTCTTTCTTTCTTTCTTTCTTTCTTTCTTTCTTTCTTTCTTTCTTTCTTTCTTTCTTTCTTTCTTTCTTTCTTTTAGGCAGAGAGTCACTCTTACCCTGGAGTAGAGTACTGTGGCATCAGCCTAGCTCACAGCAACCTCGAACTCTTGGGCTTACATTATCCTCTTGCCTCAGCCTCCCAAGTAGGCACCCACCACAATTCCTGGCTAGTTTTCCTATTTTTTTAGTAGAGACAAGGTCTTGCTCAGGGTGATCTCCAACTCTTGAGCTCAAGTGACCCACCCAGAGTGCTGAGTTTACAGACATGAGCCACTGTGCTCAGCCCAGCCACACAGCTCTTGAGGAAACATTTGGAAAAACTCACTACAACTTCCCTGAGCATTTTGGGGGGGAAGAAAGAATGTGTGATTAGCACACCACTCTTAACATAATTATCATAGGGATTTTGTAAATTTTATCATGACAATGTTCCTGCAGATGATAGTGTAGTGTTTTCAGGGCAGAGGGTGATTTCCTGATTTATGGACATAGCCATTTGGATTAACGTGGCCCTGGGGGTGCCGAGTAGGAGGAAGAGTGGGGCATGTGAGGACAGGATGGTATGGAGAGGGCAGCCAGGTGAGAGGCAGTACCGTGTGAGGCCTCTGCACCTCTGCAGAATGGAAATGAAATCAGATTACCCTCAAATCCATCTCCTTAAATCCAGGGAGAGCTTAGGGGCATCATACATGGAAATGAACACACCCCACTGAGAAGAGTACCCGTCATGAAGAGTTTAACTGATAATCATGGTTGCAGATTCATTTCACCTTCTTTCTCTCAAACTCTGGTCACAGACACACAAATCCACACTAAGTTGTGCAAATGGGGGCCTGATGACTACCTCTTTCTCCTGAAAATGCCTCCTAAGGGAATTTTGGAAGCTGTGGACAGCATGCAAGCCGGGCTTGTCCAACTGTGACCTCCAGAAGCAAACCATCCAAACCAGAGCCAGAGGATGATCTGCATCGGGTGCTTATTTGAGGTGACAAATTTTAATGTTATTGCCATCGTAAGGCTAAAAAATGTGTTTGCTCATTCATTCTCTTACCAAATAAACCACTAACCAAGCGTTTACATGTCTAAAGATGAGGGGAAACATCTCGCTCAAACAGAAAGTAGGAAAATGTCTTCACTTCGTTTTTACTATAAGGCATCACTGGGGGCAACTACAGAGGAGTAATTATCAAAATGGACAGCAGCTTTTACCTTTAAAGGAAGTTAAAACAAACATGAACCCGTTGCTCAGAATGCAGTGACTTCTTGGAGGCAGAGAGCAGGTGCTCTCAGATTTGGTGATGAATGTTGGCCTTGGCCATGGCTGGCTGGTGGTGTCACAGGAAGTGAGGAGGAGAGGAGGAGAGGACGGGTGTCCACATGAGTGAAACTACCTGGCCCAGGCAAAGCCCTGAAGCTTGAACTAAAGCACCAGTGGGAAGAGGAGAGGGCTGGATTCCTTTAGGACCGCCTCTTCTCTGGAGCATTGTGACTGCTAGCTCGCAGGGAACGGGAGAAAAAGCCAGACCTTCCACCTCCTGATTTTTAGCAAGTGAAAATGGCCTACGCGCATATGTGGCCATCTGGGCCAATTACGGCCTTGGGAGAAAGAAACCATCTTTCCCTCACATGGCAAAGCTGGGATGGCACAATTCAGATCTGCTTGCACGATGTCTCCTGCTAAGTGAGAAGCCTTGGGCAACAACAGAAACACAGAAGAGGGAGGAGAATATTCTAGAAACTCTGGATCCCAGCCTCAGACCCTTAAAATCCCCCAGACTCTCTCTTCTCTTCAAATCTTTAATTCTATAAACAACCTCATTATCCTACTATTGCAATCCTGGTTTTGCTCAAGCTAGGTTACAACAGAAAGAATTAACCCAGTGCGTGGTGGCTCATGCCTGCAATCCTACCACTCTGGGAGGCTGAGGTGGGTGGATGGCTTGAGCTCAGGAGTTTGAGACCAGCCTGAATGAGAGCAAGACCTCATCTTTACCCCAAACAGAAAAATTAGCCAATCATTGTGATGTGTGTGTACAGTCCCAGCTACTCTGGAGGCTGAGTCAGGGGGATCACTTGAGCCCAGGAGTTTGAAGTTGCTGTGAGCTAGGTTGATGCCGTGGCACTCTAGCCTGGGCAACAGAGTTGGACTCTGTCTCAAAAACAAACAAACAAACAACAAACAAAAAAGGAATTAGGATACAATATGCATCAAAGTTGATTTCCCAGGATAGGGAGAAAAAGTACACTGGATGTCATCAACCAGGAGCCCACCTGAGTCACACCCAACACCTGGACTTGTGACCATGAGCTCCTGCTGTGCTCTGTGCCTGCAGCCTCAGCGGCCCTTCCCTCAGCTCTGAGAACACCCTCTCAATGACCCAGGGATGCGACAGGAATGGTAGGCGCTGGCAGCAGCAGAGGAAGGGCGCAGGTGAGCCCCAAGCCATGCTGCATACATGTGGGGAGGAGCTGTTTTGTTTCACCCTTATTATTTAGGCTTCCACATGGAGCATGGTGTCTTTCCAGGAACCCTGGCCCAGGAGATGGGTGACCCAGCTCTGTGTCATTTGGAGCCCATTATAAGGTGAGGCAGCCACATGGATGGGGACATAAACCACATTCCATACACGGGATAGAACCTATTCCCATTGGGAAGGAAAATGAAGCAGAAAGTCGTGGTTTGGGGGCCCAGTCTGCATTCATCATGGCCATGTTGAGCTCGAGGTGCAGTAGGATGGACATGTAGACTAGAGATCCCTAAATTTCAGTGTGTGCCCAGATCACCCGGAATGTTGTTAAAATGCAGTCAGATTCAGATCGTCTAGAGTGGGACCTGGGATTCTGGGTTCCTCATGTGTTCCCAGGGAACATCCATGCTCTGGTCCCAGACTGCAGCATGAATAGCAAGGGTGTAACCTGTTGGAAATGCAGATCTGGAGCTCTGTGAGAAGACCCCTCAGTGTAGGGGTCATAGCTAAAGACACGAGAGTGGGCAAGACCCCCTGGGAGAGGCTGCCCAGTGAGGAGGGGAAGTGCTAGGCCAGGTGACAAGGAAGGAGGTCAGAGGAGAGGGCAATCAGGGAAGTGTAGGGTGCCAGGGGAAAGCTGAGTCTGAGAGTTTCCTGAAAGCCCTGCCGAGTCAGGGAAGAGAAGCTGAGCCCTGGCTCATTCTGA